TTTTAGCACTAGCGACACCCATAACGGTTTTTACGGTAACAAGCTATTCAAGTCAGCCAGTTAATACAAGCACCGCACGAGAACCCGTGCTATGGAGAAAATGGGAGCAAGAGCAGAAATGGGAGGCGGAACACTTATGGGCTTGCAGGAGGCAAAGACGTCATTTTGGACATGTAAAGTAGCTTAGCTAGTGAGCCCTATTGGCTGCTTAGTCACCGGGCGTAATAAACTTTTGGTTTGGTAACAAGCTAGCTAGATAGATACTGTACCTAAGGACAAGGCTTGTCCTCTTGTGTAACGGATAAAACGAGCTGCGCACTCGCAAGCAGGCGATTTTCTGGGCCTATCGACTGTCATTGTTCTCGTGTGTTTTGAAATTGGGGGTCAGTGGCCAGTGTTCACAGCGAAGGTTAATCCTGCCCCCACATTACCAGGCTCATTCCCCAACCACCTTCTTATGTGCATCTGGCAGCTTTTTTGGACTCTCGCTACACTCTACTTGGGCGGCAAACAACTGCTCTTAGAATGCGTTTGAGTTCATGAGCCTGATTCGGAGTGAAATAAAACTGGTTCATTTGATATATTATCGTTACTAGTGGGTCTCTGTCATACACTACATTGAGAAACCGGCTGTCCTCCAGACTAGTCCCTTTGTTTTGGTGACCTTTTTCTTCACACACCCTGGATTGTAAGGTGCACACCTAGATCTCCACCTGGTCCATCAGCCGTAAAGAGCGTTTACGCTCTTCACACGCCATACCAAACACACCTGTTTCCCACACACCGCAGTGCACTTCCACCTTTTTTGACTACTTGCATTACGGACGAGTGAGATCATTGCTGCTCCTCTTCTTATCAACACCCCTAGGGCGTAGCACGGCAGCATAATTCCACCTAGATAGAAACGTTTGCCTCGCTTGAGCACTATCCCGCCGCTGTTACAGCCCCGGCACGCCCAAACTGGCGTTCCCACGCAACATCTATGACCGCCAGCACTGCCTACCTTTTGTTATTGAGCCGTTATTGGACGTACTCCCTAGTGCGCTGGAAAAGGTTCCCAACGTCAAAGTACCAGGATCGGCAGCATATTGTTGCACCCGTCGTCAACTCTTCCCCGTAAAAGTTTTTCCACTTTTGCAGCTGTTACAGGAAAAGGCGAAACTAATTTCCCTTCGTTTGTCAAATAAACATAATAGTTGGCAGTCATTCTAGGCTGCAGCGCAGCGCCTCCAAGTACCCACTTGGTATCTAAGACTTCCAGCAGTGGAAATAGGCAGTCTAACTCAGTTGTTACATTAGCACATATACCGAGAAAGGCGTTTTGAGTGTCACTTTTTCAAATGCTGTACTTTTCGGCCAATAATCTTCATTTCAAAGAAGAGATATCCTACATTGCTCAAAGCTGATCTTATTGTAACAGAGCAATAATTGGTGCACATGTGTCAAAATAACGGCCGATTCCA